AGGCGGCCAACGTGGAGAAGATCACGACGCGGTTCCTCAAGGCGGGCATCAAGCCGGAACAAATTGGAATCATCACGCCCTACGAGGGCCAGCGTGCGTACCTGGTACAATACATGCAATACCAGGGCAGCCTGCACTCGCGCCTCTACCAGGAGATCGAAATTGCCAGCGTGGACGCGTTCCAGGGGCGCGAGAAGGACATCATCATCATGTCGTGCGTGCGCTCCAACGAGCGCCAGGGCATCGGCTTCCTCAACGACCCGCGGCGCCTCAATGTGGCCCTCACGCGGGCCAAGTACGGCATCATCATCGTGGGCAACCCCAAGGTGCTAGCCAAGCAGCAGCTGTGGAACCACCTGCTCAACTTCTACAAGGACCGCAAGGTGCTCGTCGAGGGCTCGCTGAACAACCTCAAGGAGTCGCTCATCCACTTCCAGAAGCCCAAGAAGCTCGTGAACAGCATGAACATCGGTGCGCACTTCATGTCCACCATGACGGCCGATGCCAAGGAGGTGATGGTGCCCGGCTCCATTTACGACCGCAGCGGCGGCTACGGCCACAACCGCCAGATGCCCGGTCAGACCATGAACGGCGGCCAGTTTGGCGGCGTTGGCCCCTACGGCGGCGGCTCTCCCCTCGGCTACGGTGCCCCCAGCTCCAATGCTATGATGGGCTTTGGCCTGGGCACAGGCGGCGTCGGAGGTGCTGGTGGTGGTGGTGGTGCTGGTGCTGGTGGTGTTGCCGGTACCAACAACAACTTCGGAGGGGCCGGCGGTACGGGACCCAGCTGGGCGGCTGCTCACCTGCATCACGACTCCATTGGCTACATATCCAGCGAGCACGGAGCGGCAGCCCTGGGCAACATGCCGGTCCCCGTTGGCATGTTCATGAACATGAGCAATATTCCGCCGCGGTTCTACAACCAGCACCAGCAGGCCATCATGGCGGCCAAGCAGAACCGGGCCATGCAGCAGCAGCAGCAGCAGCAGTCCGGTCACTTCTCCTCAGCGGTCAATTCGGGAGTGGGCGTGGGCGTGGGCGCTGGAGTCGGAGCCGGAGCTGGATTAGGCTCCTTAGCCGGTAGTAACAGTAAGAAGTCTCAGAAGCCGGGAAAATCGCGTATCACGGCTGGCCAGGCTCCAGGTGGAGCAGCAGGAGCGACAGGAGGAGGCGGAGGAATTGGCGGACAGGTGGGCACGGGAGGTGCCGCCACTCCGTTCAGCCAGCAGCCGGCGCCCATGTCGCTGCAAATGACGCAGCCCAGCGGATTTGCTCTTTCCCAGCAGCCAGAGCTTTCGCAGGACTTTGGCCAAATATCACAGATGGATGGTTTGCTCTCCCAGGATGTGGCCTTAAACGTGGTGAGTTTTTTTTTTTGTTTTTGTTTTAACTATTCCGCGTGCTGAAATCTTAAACGTTACAGTTAATGCGCTAGTACTAAAATTAGATTCTACACCGTTTAGCAATGGCAAAAATGTTAGCCCACTCAATGAAATTATATATCGCAATAGGCACAAAACACTCATATGCAATTATACGCCTAAGAGGGTATTATAGTTTTCTGTAAAGTATTTATACGTATATTCTTGATTAGTACACCCGCTTTTGCATCAATTTTTATATCCTTGCAGAAGGTATTATAATTTCAGTCAGAAGTTTGCAATTCACTAAAGGAGACATTTCCGACTTTATAAAGTATATATATTCTTGATCAGCATCACTGGAAGAGTCGATCTAGCCATGTTCGTCTGTCCGTCCGTCCGTTTCTACGCAAACTAGTCTCTCAGTTTTAAAGCTATCTGCATGAAACTTTCCCAAAAGTTGTCTTTCTATTGCAGGATCGGACGACTATAGCGTATAGCTCCCATAGGAAAAATCGGAAAAAAAAATGAAAAAAATTAAAACATTGCTGTTTTTTAATTTTTGTTAGTTCTTCAACATATAATAATGGCTAAATATTTCAGAACTACGGTTTAAATTTCTTTAAAATCGGATGACTATAACATATAGCTTCCAAGAAAACAATAAAAACAAAAAAAATGTTTTTTTTTAAATGTAACTTTCCTATTTTTTTTTTTTTGTTAATTCTTTTTGACTTATTAATAATTTGACAGTTTAGAATTACGCTTTTATTAAAATCGGAAAACGATATCATATAGCTGTCATATGAGCTATCGATTAATTGAGCTGCAAATCATGATGGCTTCAATGTTTTTAAACACATGCGAAAGTTAATCATAATCATAATCATTAACTGCTATATATATTTTCTTAAAAGGAAAAATGCTTAATTTGATATTTTCAAATTCATATTTGATAATAATTTTTGCTTTAAAATTATTATTACGTCCTTAAAATTTCAAGTCTATTCGAACAAAAAATTAACACAGACATAATAAACTTTAAACGCGTAATCTATAAATAACATTTTTAAATTCTTAAAAATGAATTCTTATAACCTACTAGGTGCGATCTTTTTTAAAATTACAGCTTTATTTAATACATCAAAATGTAGTTTTACGTTCAATTCTTTTTCGATAAAAAGAATAGATTCTAAAGGGAAAAATTTAATAATTTTTTTTTTTTGGAAAAACCGAAACACAAATTTTGTTTTAAAGCTTTTAGATGTATTTGGAGTATTTATAGATTCCAACTATGCGGTTAAATGTGCTAACCGTTTTAGCGCTATAAAATCTGATTAGGGTTTAGGAAAATTAGGAAAAATTTAAATTATCATTACCTTACTTAACCTTTTGTTTAAAAATAAAAAAGCTTGACTTCTGACAACACTAAGGTTATTTAACTTAATCTTAGTATTTTTTGTTTAACATAAACCATTCATTACAATATTCATTATTAAAATTACTTATAAGAATATAATTTTCTTAAATAAATACATACTTAACAATATGCTTTCATTATTTAACATATTTTGGATGTTAAAATATTTTCAAAGTGACTTACTTAGTTAATAACAAAAGGTTTTATTAAGTTAAAATATTTGTATTACCATAAGGGCTTTTTTTATTTCCTTTTTGTTTTTTTTTTAGTATTAAATGTTTTTAGTTAATTTTAGTTGAAATATTAATTTGTATAATTAATAATAATGTTTGAATTTCCTAAAATTTTTTTCTTTTTATAAACAACTGATTTGCGCTCCAAATATATTTTAAGCTATGATGTAGAATATTTCATAGTAAAATAGAGTTTATAAAAAATTCTCTTTATTAAAAAAAATTTGGCACCTTGGAGGTATAAAGTTATTTGTCCTTGTAAAATGGCTGGAGTCAGCATATGGAATAAATATTTAGGTTTCATACTAGTTGTAATTTCGATAATTAATAAATAGATGCATTATTTCACAATTAAAACATTACTAAATGCATAAACTATATGTACTTTTAGATAGTATATGAATTGCTAAAAATAAGCAATCGATATTTTTCGTTTAGTTTATACACCCAATAATCCTTAACCTTGTTGATTTCCCTGTGTATTGCAGTCGGGCGAACGAAGTTTGAACCAGTTTTCACAGCCTTATTGAGAATCCGGCCGGAGGTGCACCAACTACAAACGATTACAAGCAAAAGCAACCCAAACGAAACAACAACAAACTCAACTTTGAAGTCATCATCAAGGAGTAGCATCAGTAGGCAGCAGGAAGCAAGCAAAGAGGACGATCACGGGAACAACGACAGATGCGGGAAACAGCGCGACCTAGGAACACGAGTACGAGCGGGACATTGAAGGCAGTGAGAGAGACGGAGATGGAGATGGCGATGGCGAGATGAGGAGTGAGTTTTAGAGAAGGCGGAGGAAATGTCGAGAGATCAAGAGATCAAGAGATCGAGAGATCGAGAGCAGATCGGTGTAGGCTGCCAGGAAGCACTGCAGCCACTGGAGCACACAGACAGGTAGATGTTCCCGAAACGCCGAGGGCCATGAGGTCATGGCCAGGCGACTGGCCACTGACCATTGACCACTGGCCACTGGCCACTGGTCACTGGTTACGAGTGCTCTCCGAATGAGCCAACCTGCCGGCAAGGCGCCACACCAGATGCCCTTGAAACGACGACGACGATGGACAACTCTCTTCTCGAGACGTTTCTTTGTTTTGCCAATCAGGATTCGCAGCCGGAGCCTACGGCGCAAACGCAAAACGCAAACGCACTCCCGCCCATAACACGTATTCACCAAGTGGCTTACCTTCTTACCTTCTAACCTCCTTCTGGCCTCCAGTGCAGCAGTCAATCCTTTGCTCCTGTTCTAACCTCCTTCCCGAAAACGGTTTACTCACACCGACGACCCCATGCTCACCGTTGTACGCTTCGTACATTCTTGGACTCTTTGATTTCTGTATGCATTTGTTATCCTAACAAACACACAAAATACAAAAAACAACAAAAAAAAAAAAAAAAAAAACCAAAAAAATCCAAAACGAAACAAAATCCAATTCGAAACTATGGATTCGCAATTTTTAATCGCACGGGAACGCTGGCGCCCCCAACGCGGATGCAACTTTCCAGCGCAGATTGGAAATCGGATGATTGATAAGGATTCGCGTTGCGATCTTCAACCCTAAAAAAAACTAAAAAAAAAAAAAAAAAAACCATCTACACACAATTATAAACGTACCGAACCGACGGAAAAGAGGGCCATGATCAGAAAAAAGTTAATATTAGTTAATATTAACGCAGTTACAGATGCCTGTTAATTGTTTTTAAAACGATATGAAAATTGTATATTTTTTCTATATATTGTGAGTTAATTCTTCCCCACGCGACTCTTTGATTCAAAAAAATGAAACATTTTTTTTGGAAATTCTAAATAAAGAATTTAAGTTTTCCCTTGCGAAAAACAAATGGATGTGGCTTTTTTTTCGCCAAATGGGGCCTAAGCATTATTTCTGGAATAGATTTTTATATATCCTTATATTGAGTTCGACAGAGATATGTTTATTTTGTTAGCAACTCAAAATCTAAGTTTGGAAAATTCGAAAATTTTTTTGGTTTGCATGTTGTTTTATTTTTTTTTTCACAGAACTTGGGTTTACGTTTTCGGGTGACATTTTATTTTTCAAAGAGATACATACACACCACAGGAGGGACGAATATCGCAGACCTCCGTGAATGTTTACAATAAGTGATGGAATCCGATAAAACAATTTGAGTTTATAAAAGTATAAATAAATGAATATAATAACATTTAACAAGATAGGGGTGCATGAAAATGTATTGAAATTCTATTCCATTCGCTTTGTTTCTCACACAAATCGTTTGTAATTTCGGATTTTTCGAATTTGAATTTCAATTTACAAGGTTTCTGTTCTGATCTAACATTGCAGGGACAAGTTAACTATCTTTATCTTCATGTTTTGCAAATACCTGGAAGAGATTAAATACATATAGAGATGCAAAAAGTAAAGAAAGTCAAATTAGGACCTCAATCTTTCAGCTCTGTTTCTGTTCCAACTAGGCTACGTGCGCTGCAGTCGGTTCGGCAAAGGTGGTGGCCGCATCTGGGCTCAATTTGCTGGAGCCTGGAGCGGCACCTCCACCCGCAGTCCGCTGCTGGCCGGGATTGGAATAGTGCAGCTGGTGGTCGACGAACTGCTGTTGGGGAAAGCCCTCCTGTGCCTGAGCCTGTGGCTGTGCCTGTGCCTGTGCCTGTACATGGTGGATGGGCCGAAAGACGGTGGCCAAGTCGAGCGTGTGGTCGAGGCGACGCGCCGAGGCCAGGAAAACGGCCTTCACACGCTCAAAGGTGGCATAGTCGTAGACGGAGCGCGCCGTGTTGGACAGATCGAAGGGCTCCTCGATGTTCAGCTCCTTCCACTGGTAAACGTCGTTCTTGGGGCTCTTGGCCATGCGGCACGTGGAGACCGGCAAGACGCCGCCAGTGCGTATGGAGATGGCCAGGTTCCGGAAGCTACAGTCAACGATTGCCAACGATTGGGGATAAGTTAGAGGTCATCGATGGGTTACACTTGCAGATCAGTGCCAGACTCACTCAAAGCTGCTGTAGTACTTGAAGAAGCCAAGCAGGTGCTCGCCGAGCGTCTGGCTGTTCAGCGCCGGGTAGGGCTCGATCGACTCGATGAGATCCAGGTCGAGGCAGTCCTGCTGCCCCAGCTGGAACTTCTCCGGGTAGAGGGTGTGCAGGCAGGGCAGGACGTGCGGCACACAGGCGTGCTGCAGGTAGTGCAGCACCATTAGGACCAGCGAGTAGCTCGAGATGGTCATGCGTTTGGCGTCGTTGATGTCGTGGTACTGCGCCCAGAGCTTCACAATCACCACCAACGGCCGTGTCCGCCAATCCACTAAAATGTCAGGTGGAGCGTTAGAGATAGTCTGATCTGAGCAGTATGCTATGCAGGTGAAGCACACTTGACAACACACCAGTGATGATGAGAAATGATCACAGTCAAAACACATTAAACCATACCCTGAACAAATAGGTTTTAAAAACGATCGAAAATATGGAAGTATTTGTTAAACAAATCCACGTTAGATGTAAGTGACACAATAAATTATAAATGACTTCTCAATTAATTACTAACTTAAAACTGATTACTTATTACCAAACCCCAATCGCACCAATAAAACAATGAGATCCAGAATACAGTTTGACAGAAAAGAATCGTAAAATAAAAAACCGAAATTAAGTTTACTTTATAAAAGATAATTTTCAAACAAATTTAAACCGAAAGTTTTTTTGAAATCGGTTGGAACTGAGCTGAAATAGATTATTGTACCATTCATATTATATTGTTACGTTTATATTTATTGTTTTGTAAAGGTTTTTTTTAATGTTACGGGTAAAAGTTCTAAATTCGGTTTGAATTGATTTTTTAGGTGTCAAAACTTATGAATACGGGTGATGGTTACTCAATGATTAGTTAGAAACTAAAAAGCTAAGAATAAAATAATTATTGTTATGCAAAAAAATCAAAAGTGAACCATTTGTTTTGTACATTTAATCGCTCAAAATAACACTCACTTGTTATTCACGGCTTTTGGGTTTAATTCCTTACGAATATCCTTAAAAAAGATTACAAGCTAGCACCTAAAGTATTATTCAAATCATTTAAGACATAAAAGATAGGTACTTAGTCAAACACCAATAGAATAATATCTATAAATAAGGTAGAGTTGGCAATTGATTATCTCCAAGCAACAGAAATTTGCGAAAATAAATTCATTATTCTATTTGACGAGTACTTGGTACAATTAATATTAAAAACCAAAAAACTGTCGATTCTCTATGACTTACGTTGGGCGTAAAGCTGCAGCAGATAGGTGTTTTTGATACCTACGCAGTTGTTGAAGTTGAGATCGACTTCGATTCCATTGGTAATGTCTTTAAAGCGCAGGATCGGCACCCTCGCCTCGATCAGGTTAAAGTCCTGAAAAACCTCTGCGAAAGACGGTCACTCTGATGCAAAGCATGGCCACCCAGCTTTCGTTACCTGTGTCCTTCAACACCGCGTTGAACAGGGTGAGAATGATCAGAGCCTCGGTCCGCTTCTCGTTGTGGTAGTGGTGGTGCTGGTGGTACTGATGCTGGTGGGGATGAGGATGAGGATGCGCCCCCTGCTCGGGAAGCAGGCACATGTCGATGTCGGAGGAGTCCGTCCCGAAGCCAGTGATGGTCGACCCAACTAAGCAGATGCGGTACCTCTCGAACATCGGTTGCTGCAAGTGCCCCAATTGAACGTTTTCCAGAATAACATCTCTTAATTATTTTCGGTTTGCTTTCTTCATTTTCATATTTATACCTTCTTTAATTTGTTATGCATGATATGGTAGGCAATGCTTCTTTACTTGTCAGATAAAACAAGAAAAAGCTTTTTCGAATTTCACAAACCATGGTTCTTTTTTGCCAACAACTAGATGGGCGCTATATAAAACTGAAACCTCCGAGACTTTAAAACATGCCCAAAAATAAAGAATTTTATATTTTTCGAAACTTTCACAGTGTTTGCCAGCTCTACACTTCGAGAACAGCCGGAAAAAAATTATTCAATTTCAAAATAAAATCTCTTAAAGCGTTTGTTGGAAACATCTCTGATTTTAACTTGAGCTGTTTTTTCTGTCGGAACATTTTCCCAAAAACTGTAATCTGTGTATATTGACAAAAATATGTATTCTCTCGTATTGATAAACCAATGGCTGTCTTAAAATACAATTAGCCGAATATACTAATACAAACCTACGATACTAATACACAAAAAAAAATGTTATGTGTGATTTATCACAGTAGGTCGGGAGCTTAAAAAGTTTAAAAAGCTATAAAGCCGCAATATTGAAAATCAGCAAGAAAATTTCGATCTTAACTAAATGATACAGAAATCAAAAGGTATCGCTTTTTTTAAGACATATAGAAAGTGAATTGTTTCAGGAGAAGAGGGTATGGTAGTGCGAAAACCTGGGTAAACCTGCAAGTTTTAGGAACAACGGTTAGATTTCCAACGCGGATATACTGATACGTGCTATATATCGTTAAAAATACATTTTTAGGTGTTATTAACTTTTCGTTATTTCTCCAAGTAGAAAATATATCAAAAATTTTAATTCGGTGTTTATGTTTAATGATTTTTTTTTTGAAAACGTTATTTGCAATTTCCTTCTACACAGACAAAATAATGAAAGAACCTACAGGTCGTCTATAATTAACATATAAAATGGCTTAGAAAAAAGTAAAAACAAGAAACGCTGTAGTATATTTGAAAAAAAAAAATCGTTGCTCTGCTAACAAATAGTAAAACTGCATGCGGCAGATGGCGACACCAATTATATCCGCGCAGCAAACTGTAAAATCGAAAATCTCGACCATCTTACGCGCAGACAGATCATAGATCTCGAATTTATGTATATATTTTACATAATACATTACTTTCCTGTTACATGTGTATTTTGTACCCTTTTCTTTATGCTTAGCGGACAAATGGGAGTACATGAACATAGGTATGTAGATAGGTTAAAGAGCATATCGCCGTTTTCACTTACATTCATCCAAAGGAATAGGTACCGCCAGAGCCGCATCTTGAGCTTGAACTTCTGCTGCGTCTGCTGGGCGCCCCGGAACCTCTTCCAGATGTCAGCAGACAGGTTGTCGTACTTGCACATGCAGATGAGCTTCTCAGGCTGAACGACGACCTCCGTGTTCCGCGCTTGGGCCAAGTAGCGATCGGGGGGCAGGACCAGCTCGTACCAGGGTCCTCCTGCTGTGGCTCCTGGCGTGGGATTCGGGGACGAAACTGGCGGAGGCGGCGGCGGATGGGGACGGTGTGGGATAAAGGGGGTCATTGCGTGTCCGTTTAGCTGCCCATGCGGGTGATGGGTTACGAGCGGGGGAGGGTGTTGCTGGAGTTGCTGGTGTGGCTGGTGTGGTTGGTGCGGCTGGTGCAGATGGGGGGGCAGATGGGGGGACAACTGTGCAGATCCTAAAGCACTTGGAGTGGGTGAAATGGAGAGGTGGCCTCCGTGGCCTCCGCCCAAGCTGAAAATACAAATTTCAAAATGTATCAGTCCACTGGGAAGTTGTACATAGAAATTGGTTTGGGTTTAAAAAAAACATTTGTTTACTTAAACAAGAACTCGGACTACAAGCATATGAATTATTTATTTGTTGAATAATTCAAATTTAAAAATATGTAAGAGAGCAATGGAAATTGTACAATCGACTAGAAGATGATAGAATATATACATTTAAATAAAATTTAAATAAGTATCATTATATAACACTCCCATGCAGACGCTCTTGGTGCGCATCGTCACTACAACTTATTCTTATGAATCATTTTTATTTACTTATTGATTTATAGTTAGCAATGAACTGCTAACTAACATCTACAGGGCTATATACTAAAATAAGTGTACTTTAAATTCAATTATGCAATGTTTGATGATAAGTGATCAATAGAATTTTCCTGCATAATAATTTGAGAGTCCACCTCACCTATGAGAAGCTTATGCAAAAATTGACTCCGCTGCACATTCTACAATGCTTAAAACAGACTTTTAATCAATTAATTTTAACCTTGATGCATATCTTATGTATATTATTTATATTCCATAGTGCATACAAGACCTTAAAAACTTTATTTTTATTTATACATTATTGTCGTTTTTTTCTTTGCCTTCTTAAAAGATTTAAAGGGGCAAAAACTCAAAATGATTATTTAATTAAAACTAGACTATGGAACCTAACTAAAAAAAAAATCGACTGCTTGAAACCCAACAATGATTTTAATGCATTTTGTTACTTTACGAAAGAGTAGAGCACTGTGAAAGTGTTCTCGTTTCACTTAAGATAGACAACGTTGCCATTGTCATATATAAAATAGATTAAATTGTGTATTTAGCGCTGAAACGTTTTGCTTTTCAAGAAGTTTAAATGAAAATGTAAAGAAAATGTCAAAGATGTAACTAGTATAAATGAAATTATCAACCCCCTTCAAGGGTATGCAAATGATCTGTTTCATTTCACAAGGACGCAAGTATGTTATGTTGTATAATTGAAGACATTTTTCTAACATACCGACTGCGATTGCTTGTGCCGCTCCAATGGGATTCGCTGCCCAGCGATGAGGTGGAAAGGGCGGGCGAACCGGGTCGCAGTCCAACTGCATTCCCATCCTTGGAGTGCGGCGAGTTCCCATTGCCGATCCCGTTGAGGCTGCAGCTGGATCCGTACGAGGACTGGTAGCAAGGCGACCTGGAATGTGCCCACACGGGAGCCGGAGGCGCTTGGTGGCCCTGCCCCGGGTTGCAGAACCCGTCGCCGAAATGAAAGAACACCTGCGGCGGAGGCGGCAGCGGCTGCGTCTGCGAAGTGCTGCAGTTCGGGATTAGGTGCGACTGCTGCTGTTGCTGCTGGGAGGGAACAATAAAGGGCACCGCCTGGTTGAAGCTGGGACTGCTGGCTGAGGGATCTCCTCCGCTGGCTGCCGCTGCCGTTATGGCCTCGTCCAGCTGGGCGCAGCTGATCATCTTGGTGGGCGTGGTGGTGGTGGTGGTGATGCTGACGCCAGTCACCGGGGAGAGCAGCTTGTGGCCACCAATCATCGCGAGCGGCGGCGGTGCGAACATGTTGCGGACGTGGGCTGCCGCTGCTGGCAGAACGGAGCCGTTCACCGCCTGAGGCATCCCCCCCACCCCCCTTTCTACATTGGTTGGGGTTGACACTGAGACGGAGGAGACGGAAGGAACCGGCGTTATCGAAATACTCGGTTTATTGAGCAACGAGGGCTTGACCACCGGTGTCGTTCCCGCCGTCGATGCAACAGCCTCACTGGATGCCTCCATGTCGACATGGATGTAGGTGAGGTTGTAGATGTTCTGGTGCTCGGAGCGCGTGGGCGTGGAGCCGCCCTCGCCCGCCAGCGGGTGATAGTTGTTGTGGTAGTATCCGTTCTTACCGCCTCCGCCTTGCATGCGGCGATGCGCTGCGCTGAAGTTGCTGCTGGCCAGAATCTCGATTGTCTTCTGCTGCTGATGTGGATTATGATGCTGTTGATGGCCAGAAGCGGACCCGGCGGGATCCCCGTTTTTCACCGATGGACTGTAGTGCATCTTCTTGTTGATGCCGCTGCTGCTGTTATTGTTGTCGCTGTGCTTCCGGCGGAAGTGCGAGTTGCCGATCCCATGCTGATGCGGAGGGTGTTGCTGCTGCGGCTGATGTTGCTGATGTTGCTGCTGGTGCTGCTGGTGCTGCTGGTGCTGGTAGTGCTGATAGACGTTCTGGGCATTACGGTAGCGCTGCTGTTGCTGCTGGTAGCTGCCAGTTCCCACAGACTGATGACCGTATTGCTGCCTTGAAAAGCTGCTGTTGCTGTTGCCGTTGTTGCTGCTGCTGCTGCCGTTGTTACTGCTGCTGTTGCTGTTGTTGCTGTGCTGGCTGGTCTTTTCGCTGCTGTCTGGCAAAAGTTCCTTCTGCAGGAACGAGGCGATGGTCAACTGTTTGGGCTGTGGATAGTAATATTGATAGTAATTGTGCTGCTGATGTTGCTGGTAGCCCGAGTTTCGCCTGTTCTCGAAGGCCAGAGACTGATGTTGCTGTTGGTGTTGCTGTTCGTGCTCGGATGCAGCTGCCGCCACAGCAGCCGCTGAAACAACTGCTGCCACCGTCTCCTTCTGGAATTTGACAACCTGTTAATTTATTTGTATTTTACAATTTCAAATGTTCACCTAATATTTCTCAACACAAAGTTTAAAACTTAATTCAAAATTGTTTGGGTAAATATGTTTTGTCATGCAAAAATGATGAGTATAAAATAAAGATAAAAAATGAACGTGTTAGTCGGACTATTGAATTATTGTTTAATTGTTGAAAATAAAAAATAAAAATGTAAAGTAAATCAAAGCATTAAAAAAGGTAGAAATGAACGTGTAAGTCGGACTCACGACTAGAAATCAAATTATTTGAAAGCAGAATCAAGCCCTACTCAAGTTATATGACAAGATAATATAGAGTTACATTAGTTATGACCATGTGCTGTTTGGAAACCGTTCTAGAAGGTCTCTTACATTCTTTTGCTGGCTGGCGGCTGGCTGCGGGTAGTTGGTTTTCCAGAAACTAAGGGGTTGCTGTCGGGGTCGCTGCTTGTCAGGCTCCTGGACATGTCCCTCATCCTGGTTCTTGGCCGCGGATGTTTCCGTACCACTTTCCGTGCTCGAGCCTGCAACTGAGGGGCTGGTCTGGCCATGTCCTGCTACTGCTACTGCCGCCTCTTTTCCCGTCGACTCAGCTGCGGTTTCTGGACTCAGGGAGTCTGGGCACTTGCGATAGTAGCCAGCAATGGCATCTGCCGATGGGTTGCGCTTTTTTGTACCAATGTTATTGGTGGTATTTCTGCAGCCGATGCTATTGTTGCTAATGTTGCTGCTGCTGTTGTCGCTGAGCCATTTGGCTGGCTTTGCCGCCATTCTGTTGCTGCTGTTGCCGTTGATGTTGCTGCTGCTATTGCTGTTGCTTTCGCTGGGCTTGCAGTCAGTCAATTGTGGCTGGACGAGATTTTGATTCTTCATCAGCACGTTGTTGTTGTTAAGCGTTTGCTGTTCTTGTTGCTGCTGCTGCTGCTGCTGTCGCTGGAAATACGTGGATTGCAGTTGCTGTTGCTGAAGACTGCTGCCGTTGCTGCCGTTGCTGCTGCCAAAGTATTTTTTGCGAGCCCACGAGTTACTGTTGCTGCAGTACTGCAGTTGTTGCTGCTGTTGTCCTTTGTTGCTCTCGGTGTTGCTGCTGTGGCAACTGCTCGCTTGATTCGCCGCCTTGTTGTTGTACTTTCCGAACTTCAGATGGCACTGCCCCGGCTTGGGAGCCGGCGATCCGGCGGAAATCCGCGACCGGAACTCGAGTTGCTGCAGCTGCTGTTGCTGCTGCACGGGAGTGCTGCATGTTTCCGTGGCGCTGCTCTCGGCAACATCTGCGGCAAAGATCTTCATGTCGCCAGCTACTCGGGTGGCGTACATAGCCCACGATTTATTGAACTTGGATGTGGTTGCGTGGCTTGAGTTTTGAGTATACAAAATTTCTCAACACATATAGCTAGCTCAGTTGCTTAGGACTAGGTTTAATTTATGGTAAAATTATAGTTAATTTTTTTTAGTTAATTTTTCGAGTTCGAAAACTTTTTTTTTTTTTTTTTTTTTTTTTTTAATTGTTATAATTGTGTATTTTTATTAGTTAGGATTTTGTTGTAACTTGTTTTTATTTTTGTTATTTTTTTTACTATATTTTGGTGTTTTACTTATTAACACTTTATTTAATTTCAGGATTTTAATAAGTCATATTTCACTTTCACTTTTTACGCCCACCAGTGTAAAAATACCGTATTTTCGATTCTTTTTCGATTCGTTTCACTTCCCAAGCAGCAGACACACACACACACACACACACACACACGCTCGCACGTCTATTTTTCGTGTGTTCGGTCAAATGCAGTCTCCTTTTCTTTCTTTTTTTTGCGTTGTGTGTGAAGGAGGCGACGAAAAAGAACCGTTATAGGCGAGGAGAACCGAAACTGCAATGCAAGCTGGGAAAATAAAAAAGAAATAAAGCCCGGAAACCAGGGAACGGACAGCCGGAGAAACGGTTTTGGGATAAGAACAAGAAATTAAAATAAACGAAGAAGCTCACCAAGCCAAAAACGCGAAGGCGTTGCAATTTTTCCGATACCAGGATCGGGACAAAAAAACGGTGCTTATCTTGTTGAGCGATTCCCGCACTGCTCCGTTTCCATTAAAGTCCAACACACACTTTCCACATCAATTCTAACATTCATAAAAAACTAAAACTGCGCCTCTAACGCTTTGAAATCAGCTAGCAACTACTGTACTGCCCGGGTATCCATCCAGCCGAACCTTCTGAGCGGGCTTTCGATCGCCTGTCATCGATAGTATACATATCTTCTGCAGTTGAGTCTAAGAAACGATATCTGTTACAATAGGGGAACTCGCTTCCCTTTTTTGGGAATATTTTACGGAAATGCCAGTTTTGGCGCTTTTAACTGTATTCCTCCTAGCGATGTAAAAAACTTGTGACGATCGCAACATAAAAAATATCTGATATAAAATTTTGTGAAGAAAAACTAATAAGCATTCCATAAATAGATACACCATTTAAATGTTTCAAAAATTAAAACTTTTTAAACAACAATATTTTGGTTTTTATGCTAATGCTGTTAGGGTGGGGAATGTGTCCTTCTGACTGAAATTAAAATACCAAAAAATGTTTTTTCCTTTAACCTGAAACCATTTTTGTATAGCATTTACTTTTTTACTTATTTAAGCCTCAGCAGCGTTATCTTCTCCAAACTGAGAAAAGCTTAATATTCTACCAAGACAACGATCCGAAGCATTTAGAAGGCATTGTGAAGTTCTGGCTCGTCTGGAACTGCCCTCATGTCGTCATAACACTAGCACAGTATCCAGACTTGAATGTCTTCGAAAATTTATGGGAAATATTGGACATGGCAATTCGAAAACGACAGATTTCGAATAAAAACGATTTGAAGAATGCTCTAATAGAAGAATGGCAAAAAATAACAGTAGAAACGACCAAATAAGTAGACGCGTCGATGGAAAATCGTCTGAAAGCTGTCCAGAAGTAGAAAGGATAGCACACAAAATATTCTAATTTTTTTAAAGAATAATAAGTTTATCCAAATCAACTGCACGAAATAAGTTGCGGCATGAAAAAAGCCTGTACATTTTGTTTTTGTCATATTTTGTTCTTATTTTTAAGAATAAGGAGATCGTTTTTAGTTTTTTAAATATGCTACTGTTTCTAGTTAAAATATTGCGTTTACATTTTTGTTTTATCTTCATTGGTTTTGCCGCAATACCGATTTAAAGTTTTGTAATACAGCTGCACGAAATAAGCTGCGAGCCACTTTAGGTGTCAATTTGATGTTCTTCTTATTAACAACTTTGGATGTATTTATCACTGTGGACGGCCGTCAACGTAGTGAAGATAAACACCGGAATTCCTTACTATATATATATATATAGAATTATCCGACTCTTCTAGTGATGCTGATCACTGCGTTGCTAACTTCTGACTGAAATTATAATAAGCTCTGCAAGGGTTATACATATATGAAAATCTTGTTTGAGCTTTGTAACTAAAATGGAAATATCAGCAAGGTATACAACAAGAAAGGAAGCAAACTTCGGCAAGCCGAAGTTCATATACCCTTGCAGCTATTGCAAAAATTAAATATTTTTTAAAACATTAAAATTATGATTTACTTGTGTATATGTTTAAAAACATTGAAGCTATCATGACTTGCAGCTCAATTATTAGATAGTTATTTTATACATATATTTTTATTATTTCTATGGGAGCTATTTGATATAGACCTCCGATTTTCATGAAATTTAAACCGTAATTCTGAAATATTTAACCATTACTATATGTCGAAGAACTAAAAAAAAAATTTAAAAACAGCAAAGTTATATTTTTTTTTATTTATTTTTTCGATTGTTTCTATGGGAGCTATATGCTATAGTCGTCCGATCCGGTTCGTTCCGACTTATATACTACCTGCAATAGAACGACAACTTTTGGAAAAGTTTCATGCAGATAGCTTTAAAACTGAGAGACTAGTTTGCGTAGAAACGGACGGACAGACGGACATGGCTAGATCGACTCGCCTAGTGATGCTGATCAAGAATATATATACTTTATAGGGTCGCAGATGTCTCCTTCACTGCGTTGCAAACTTCTGACTGAAATTATAATACCCTCTGCAGGGGTATACAAATATTCGTTTTATAATTGTTATCTTCGGTGAGTACTAATTTATTTTTACACATCTCAAGGACAACGTGCAAAAATAAGATAGATCACTTAAAGAAATAAGTGCCAAAGAGAGTTTAAGCAACATTGATGCCATCATTTTCGACCTTTGGATTCTAATCTCCGGATAAAGTCCTCAATTATAGATAAAAAAATCATCTGAATATGAACACACTTAAGCAAGAACGCACTTAAAAGAAAAATGTCAGGAAACACGACAAACGACAACAAGTAAACAATTGTCGCAGCTTCCTCCAATTGTAAAGTATGAAGTCATGTCCATGACCATGTTAAAAATCTTAACTATCAACCTCATTGTCGTTTTCCGAAGAAACAGCCGTCCAAGAGATTTGAACAGGAACATACGCCAAATTACCCTTCCGGATTAAAATCTACTTGAATTTGATTAGAAGGGTTTATTCTGTAACCCTATTTAGACCAGTTCGTACACAATCCGCAGGAGAACAAATCATTGTCAGTAACATTATTCCGAGTCATTGTTTTTTGGTGGCCCGATAATGTCAAAATATAGGCACTAAGCTGTAATTATTTGCGTTACTTAGTGATTTCATTGTCTGGTTATTGAGTCCTTTGTCATTATTCCTTCGCTAACTCGGTGTTTCGAATAGCTCTGATCTCTCGGTGTCAAATTAGATATCTTATAAACAAATGCATCTAAATGACATCAATCTATAATTAAAACTGCTAAAAGGGTGTAAGGCACACATAGGAAACAGTAAACGATTTTCGATAATATCGCCTTTTTTTCTTTGCAGACCATTTTTCGATTTAGTTAATTGGTTAATTCAAGCTAATACAAAAAGCATTCTTTCCCTTCAACAGCGCGAGATTAAAATACTCAATAAAGCCACAAAGTTTATCGAATAATGAAAAAATTTAAGAATAAACATAGTTTCCGGGAGGAAGAAATCCATCACTTCTCTCCAAATTTCGAGTGGCACAATAAAGATGGTTAAAATGTTAAATGCCAAGGAAAACGCTTTTCTAATGCTGGTTTGCAGAAATCTTCCATTGATTACTATGTAAGACGTCATGCCAACAAGCAAAGCATATCCATGGTAGATTTTTCTTGTAAATTGATGAATATATTATAATAGTAAAAGATGCAAGGGTTTACAAACTTTGGCTTGCCGATGTCTTGATTCTTTCTTGCTTTTATATAGAATCGTGCCTTGCGGAGTTTTGATTTAAGCTCCAGTTCAGAAGGTCACAGTTTTTTTTTTTTTTTACATTAAAAAAATAAGTTTTGCAAATATTTAGTAAGTCGGAAAGCATGTTTTCTTTAATTAAATTAGTCAACAATACGGCATTCGGCCTAGGTTACATATTTACTAAAACAACGAATGTCAGTACCGATTAAACAGTGACTTCCAAAATAGACGTGCCGGCAGCATGGAGTCGCGTCCTACGCAGCTCTTGTGGGTTAGCCTATAAAATGGGAATAAATAAATAATAATTTATTTATAATTTGGTGCACAAGTAACAGGATCCCTATCACGATTATAAGAGTAACGGTTATAAAAACAAACTCATTTAAAGGGCTTGTCGTTCCTATAGCAGAGAAAAGGTATAGTGGTCTAATGCAATCTGGATATTACTGCGTAAAATTATCAGCGCTGGCTTTCAATTGCATATCAATTGAATGCCATAATTTACTAAGATTATTAAAGAAACTGTATAGTTTTTTCATTGGACATTCATAATTCTCAATGAATATTCTCTTCCGATAAAATCAGGTTTTGAAAATTCTTTGTAACTGTAGAACAAATATTGACAAAATCAAAACGGAACTTATGGAAAATTAGTCTCTTTTACTTTAGTTTTATGTTTATATTAATGTTAAGCAACGTTGTGCTTTCTTTCTTGACTTTCTTAATGGCTAAAGGGTGCGTGTGAAACTCACAGGAAGTTGGCGCGACGCAGGCGCTCCAGATATGCATCCGTGGCAACGGCAGAAAGAAAAATCTTGCGCACCTGGGGCGACATCTGATCGTGTAGCTGCCTGGCAAGCTTCAAGTGAGTGTTGGCGGCACTGGCCACCTCAAATATACACTCCTCGACGCCCTTGTCCTCGCTGCGGCCGCGAATGATGCGCTCCTGATTAACGCCATGCCGCACGAGCACCTCGAGGGGCACGCAGACCGCTTGCTGACGTCCCGTCAGCGGTATGGCACGCAGCAGGGTGGCGATGCCTTGGGCCTTGCCCAGGTGGGAGGCGGCGTGGTCCGCCTGCAGATCACGTACTCCGCTCACCTCCAAGAGCAGAAGGAGCAGCGAGGAGAAGGTCTGTTCGGCGTACTCCTCGAGCTCGCGGATCGTCTCGAAGCCCTGGTTGGTCGGACGCTCTCGTGCTGTGACCAGGCGGCGTAAATAAATCTTATTCAGCTTGCGACTGCCCACCGTGTGCTTCAGTTCTCGCAGGACAGGCTGATCCTCCACATAGGATCGTTGGGATTCCGATTCGAAGCACTTGTCTATGGAGTCGTGCCAAAACTTGAGGCGCAGTTTTGCTATTTGTGGTTCGGTTTGCTGTCAAGAAATCAAACGAAAGTCAACATACTTTTATGGGGTTGAGATTTTTTGTCATTGTGCTTCTAGAGATATGCATAAGTGAATTGTCGTCAAACTCTATAGTCAAATGTGTGTATAGCCTGAAGCGATTTGACCATATATCGCAAATGACTAATAAACTTCTGGACCTAAACTTGACCTCATGGATAAATTAAAGGGTTCTTATTTATTTCCGTTATGCAACGTCCACAAACACTCATCATTTTTAATGCCCAAGATTTAAATCGCTGTGTTCCAATATACTATTTTTTATCAATGCTATACGCCTCAAGAACAACCTACCACATAACTTAACAATTAATAAATTCTGAATTAAAAAATATTTGACATAAATAAAATTAATTAAATATAATACAAAATTAAAAAAAAATATATTTAAAAAATTTTTATAAGAATAAATAAAGAATAAAATTAAAATAAGTAAGATAAATACAACATAGTAAATCTAAAAATAAATAATATATAATTTTGTTAGATTAAGAAATATCTTAAGTTATCAAACCAATTTAAATATTGAACATATTGTTTTGACAAGTGCAATACTATAAGCTCAACCTTGTCGCACTAGGATACAAAATAAATATATGCATATATAGATATATACTTCACATTACCACAAAGACTTAAGAAAGGGATTGGTGTTTTATATCAACTAATTAATGGTTTTCCAGTATAAATTCATAAAGTTCACACGCACAAAACATTATCGATCTCGAAAACTATAGATGCGATTGTAGCACGTCCACTTATATAGCTTTATGATTTATGAATGATTTATATTCAGAAAACAGAGTATGGAAATAAGTTGAGGTGTTAGTTCGAAGGTTCTATCACATCGTCATTAGGAAAACTCATGTACAATATATCTGGAACGCATGTAACTGCTGTGAGTTCGCTAGTAAACGCTGTCGATGGGATAGAGCTTAACCCCAACTTCTAATATTTTTGAGGTTACTAGTGGAAGCTCTATCATTTGAAGAAGACGTTTTAATTCAATTTGTTGAAGGAGTAGAGCTAAACCCTGACCTTAAATATTTTAAAAGTTACTGATTTCCTATTATCTGAAGAACCTTCAACAGAAATTGAAGGGGAAAGAGTTAGTAGCTCAATGATGAATTGATTTGAGTTATAATTCTGCCATTCTGCCGAGTTATAAGTCTCCTTGGCAGTAGGCACTCAGGGATTCCCCACTCACATGTCCGCTAACCGATCTGGAGACCTCCACGTTGAATGCCCGCAGGGCGAAGGCAGCTCGTCGCAATTCCCGGGGCAGCAACAGGGTGCACAGGTAGTTCTCATAGTCATATTTCCTGGTTGTAGAACAGAACGATTGCAAAACAGCAAACTTAAAGTGTGTCCGTATGTGCTACTTACTCCACTAGGCTCATACAGTGTTTGGCACCGAATCCATTCCTGTCCGCTCCGTCCTCCTGGGAAGCGATCTTTTGCTGGACACTGCCATGCCGGACAACTCTTTGGCCTGATTTGGCGTTGAGTAACAGTCGGCAATTCCAATTTCGCACCAGGCGCCGCATCTTCTTCTTCCAGCTGTTTGACTGAACAGATGATTTGAACGGCGTTGCCGGACTGCAGTTACCGGCAGTGTTGCGTAATGTCGAAATTGTGACCGCCGGATTCCACTGGCACAAATTTTCACACATTCACATTTTGAATTGCCTAATTTTTCCAAAACATAATAAATTTAATGTCAAACAGCTGCATTTTTGCATGGGTATATTAAACTGTATAACTTATAGGATCGGACATGCTTTTTTCAACCTTTAATATTATATACGTTATTATTATTTAGTAGTTTCCTTTTGCCCTCTGATGCAAATTGCTTTGATTAACCAAGTTTTTTCTCATTAAAGTCTGAAAGACCAAAAATTCATTGTCTTTGTGAGTTGGGTAATTAGGGGGGTTTATTAAAAATAATATTCTGATTCCAAGTCAATACAAAACCTTACGACTAAAATTCAGCCACAATATATTTGATTAATTGTTCCGGTATGGTGGTAAAATGGGGATAAAGGGGTGAAGTATTCGAACATTTTGGTTAAACACTTCTTTAGACCAAAACACTTATACTATTTTGCTAACCACAGCATCCTCCGGCACTGCATGATGTGGAGGGCTGTATGCGGCCGATTCGGCGGTTCGGTCTTAATCCTCCTCCGCCATATCCACCGCCACCACTTCCACCTCCTCCGCCACCACCACCGCCTCCTCCACCTCCTCCTCCTCCTCCCCAACTGCTACTACCCCAGCCATTTCCTCGACGGGAGTTATCGCCGTTGTTATCATTGCTGCTAAACGGAGCTAGGAACGATGCAAACCTGTGCAGAAGGTACTAGATTAAATACTCCTGGTTGGAAATATCATTTGCCCACTCACAACTGCTTGATGGCAAACCATATACCCACGAATATGGCCAATACCCGATTCAAGTCCCAAGGACGTTTCTCCCAAAGTCGACCATCTGCAAAAAAAAAGGGTTCAGACCGCCGGGATCCACATGTACATCCATTTGCACTCACTTTGATCGACATACGCCATGTTGAAGACCAATTAGCTTGCAAGGTACTCTTTTTTTTTGTTTTGTAAATATTCCCGAATGTACTGGCAGGTCAGCCTAAATTTGTAAATTTGTATACAACTTGACGTGGTGTTGGAGATGGCCAAGCCAAGCAGCTGATTGACGTTATCGATAAGCATTTCGTCACAATAATCGGTTTGCCGATATTTCAATAATACCCTTTACACACAGCCGATTATAATCGCTTTATTGAAAATGTTGTTGCAGGGCGTTCTCACAGCCGCCGCTTAGGTTTATTGTTTGCTTCGGCTAAGGAACTTGTAAATTATTATTATTTTAAAGTATGCATAACACCTTCTCCTTCTGGCGCATGTATTTGTTTTTAAGGAATTATAAACCCACAGGGGTCTTCGATTCCAATAAGTTTCGGGTTAAAAACTAAATTTTGAATACGGGCAAAATATATTTGAAAATTATTATAAAACACATAAACATATGCTAAGTGCTCACTTCTGACTGGAAACTAATTGAAAAAAAATGGGGTTCACGGAGGTAATTTTTGGTTTTTATCTACATATTTATTTCGCAGGAATAACAATACATATAAAAAGTTCTTGGCACTGTTACTTTGAACTTTAAATATGTATGTACTTTTCATTACTAAATTCACATAAAAACCTGTAACTATATTGGAGCTAGTACATACACATGTACATATGTAAACCGACGACGGCCACGCAAGCAGCGAGCCCAGAAATCGACGATACATCTTTCGGCAGTTCTCCGCTCGAGTCCGAGTTTAAGAGGACTGCGTCATAGGTGCTACTGGAGCCGGACAAACCGTGACTTCTGAGCCAGTTTTGGTGCTGCTTGGCGCTTACAGTCTTCTGTCGGCGCGACATCCGCCCACAAATGTGGGACCGGATGTCGCTACTATCCTCATCCGCCTGCCGCAGGCATATTGCAGCTCATCGACGGCTGTATGCGTCCAATTCGGCGGTTTGGCCTTAATCCTCCTTGCCCTCCTCCTCCACCACCACCTCCTCCGCCACCACCTCCGCCACCACCCCAGCCACCTCCTCCTCCACCGCCGCCCCAGTTATTACCGCGTCGTTGGTTGGGGTTGTTATCGGGGGCTGTGAAGGGAGCCAGGAACGTCACGAATCTGAAAGAAACTTGCTTTGTTATAGCCTTATAAGTCTGCAGCTAGATAGTCAACTCACAGTTGTTTGATGGCGAACCATATTCCCATCAAGAGCTCCACTATCCGTCGCCAGTCCCAAGGTCGCTTCTCCCACACGCGCCCATCTGCCATAAACGAACAACAAATGGTTCAGAGTTTGCAATATCTGAGCAACACAAAATCAATGTTTACTCACTATGGTCGATGTACACCATGGCGCATACAGGATGCTTGAAACCCGCTTAATTTATTGCGCAAATTAAACAGATTTTACAACAGTTTCATTTCTAAAACATGACTAGGTATAGGCAAACCGATAAGTACGTCACTGCAATCAAAAAACTTCAAAAAATGTGAATACTAAATTATACCCTGTTTCCACTGCGACATATCTACATTCTTGTTGCTGTCAATAATGCTCTATTTTCACCGAGAACCGTCCACATTCTTTTGTCAAGCATGAACTGTGCGCACTAGGGAAATGCGAGAAATAGGTTTGAATTCTTAATATTAACCAATACAAAACCGTTTTTATGTAAGTGGTTTTGATTGTGCTTATAACATTGCATTGTTGGATTCATTCATTAACGCATTTTTTTCTCAGACTACACGATGTAACATAAATTCGAGCAAAACGGACTTAAAGCCTATTCAGACAGGCGGGTTTTCTGCTTCAGCGATCAAATTCCGCTTTTATGTTCCTTAAGAGGTGCATGTACTAGAAAGAGACCGAAAAAAGTCGCTTCAAGTAGTTGTTGCGAGTAGTAGGCTATTAATTTGGTGGTGATTCAGTAGTTTTGAAGTATTTCAATTATTTTTACCTGGCCATTTTGGGATATTTTTGAAATGGAGATGTATTTTGGCCTAGTCAGCAAATGCCCATTCTATAATATGAAAGAATAGGAAGGTATCGACTTCCATTTGACCTACAGTAAGCGCGAAAGAGCTCTGATATTTCTAGGGAAATCCAGCATCAATTAATGGATCGGTTGGTCAGCAGAAAAAAGTTTTCCATTTGCGAATGTCAAAATTGAATTTAGTTTTGCGTTAATATCCATTTTGCTGTCGAAAAATGAAATTTTGTGTTGTCTTTTTCTTCTTTTTGGGTCTGTTCACATTATTGCATTTTTCGGCTTCAAACTCAGCAATATTTAATTTTGAATGATTAAAAATGATTTGAGGTTGTGCCGAGCAATCGACCGTTTTTTTTACCTCCGGCAACAAATTCTTTAAAAGCACTGGGTGTATATTTTGCAGCTACTACAAACCGTTTTTTGATTTACAGAGAAACATTCGGTAATTGTCGCGCAACCAAATTATTAATATTTTTATTTCTTGGATATCTACCCTATTGCAAAAAGATTTTTTTAAATGTTTAGAAAGCATTTGCCTTGGATTTTTAGTCCGTTATGTCGGAAACTTCAATGAATGCTGAAAATTGTACATTGTGTAAAATCGTATTGTATGACAAAAATTAGTTTAAATGATAACGGTTCAGAACTAGACCCCTTTGCCAGTATTGTTAAGTGTCCTACGATAAAGTGAGACCAAGGCAAACAGTTTAATATTGTAGGCGTATGTTTTAATTGTCAAGTGTAAGTAGCTTTTCAAGGCTGTCGTTTATAAGTTGTTGTTAAACAAAAGTGTCGTGTGGCGTACTCGAGTTAAAACCACTTTCAAAACAGCTGAAAATGTGATTAATTGTTGCCAAATAACTGCGAGGGTCACACTGCCACTTAAGAAAGTGTTGGTGCCGCCGCTCACACCCACTGTTGCATTCCATTTACAGTTCAAACGGACTTTTTGTGCGCGTCGCTTTTTTTTGTTGATTGATTAATAATTTTTTATTGAGAATAAGCGAATAAACGATGGAAACGCCGCGCCGCAAGCTGCGCAATTTGCACTTGGAGAACGTGCAGAACAGCAGCACACCGATTCGGGTGCCACCATCGCCGATGCTAAAAACTCTGGGCCACGGGACCGGCGTCAGCGTTTACCGCCTGGACCGCTCGCCACGGCGCGGCCAAATCCGCTCTCCATGGGCTGTCAAGCGGATCACGCATAATATGCGAGTCAAGAAGGATACGCTATTCAACGAGCGGATTGTCCACGAGGCGGAAATCTTGCGGTAAGTTTTGGTCCACAAGACGAATTTCTATCGCGTTTGCTCTTGCAGGATGGATTGTGTGTGTGTGTGTGTGTGTGTGTGTGTCACTGTCCTGCGTGTGCGTGTCGTGGAATGTGCAAATGTGCTAGTGCGGAGGCTGCATGTGTGGTAGGATGTGGGTGATATGTGGGTCACAAAAGCACCGGGGTGGTCATTGCAAACAAATACAGGCAACACTTGTTACAGTTACATATTAGGGTTTTTTTTATTGGTCTTAATAAGATTCGAAAAAATAGAGGAAACTGCAGTTTCCTTATCATAAGATGATGCGTCATACATGATGAATTGGCCTCAATACAATAATCTAATGTTAAGATTTATTATCACTATAAGTATAATTTAAATAATAGGGCGTCCCAAAGCCATAACTTTAAGCCTACAATCAATATTTGAAAAATAATGTTAATACAGTTTACACTGGACATAATAAAACAATAATAAAAAATGATAAATTTAGTGGCCAAAATAATCACAAAATGTATTAAAGTTCCAAGAAATCGAATGACAGCAATCAAATCAAATTTAAGTAAATACGTTCTAAGCTGGTTGGAATAAAGTTTTTTTTTTTTTAATTATATTCACAAAAAAAAATATTTTTTGTAAAAAATAAAAAAAAATGTTAAAAGCACATGAATTGATTAACTTTTGGTTGGACTTTCTTTACAAAGTTCTATTCAACACTTAACTTTAATTGTAAACTGCAGTTTTAATAAAAAGTTCCATTGGCTTTATATAAAAGTAGGAAAATCATTAAAATTACTTGGCTCTCTAAAGATTGATATAAGACGAATGTGCCTCTACGCAGGAAAGGTACAATAATTGTCTTATTAAAACCCCCAAAAACCCCATATACTATATAGTTCAAGAAATAATAACCTATTCTACCATCCTAGAAAACTTCAACACCCAAATATTGTGGGATTCCGTGGCGTTGTCACCAACGCCGAGGGCGTTAACACATTGGCTCTCGAAATGTGCACCACCTCGCTGGGTTCCATACTGGAGGAACGTCACGACGAGGATCTGGGTCCGCTGCCAGCCAAACACACTTTCAAAATGATCATGGACGTCGCCCTTGCGCTAGATTTCCTTCACAACGAGGCTCGCATGCTGCACGGCGACCTCAAGTCCTTTAATGTCCTGGTTAAAGGAGAGTTTGAGATCTGCAAATTGTGCGATTTCGGGGTCTCTTTGCCGCTGGACGAGCAAGGCGAGATTAATTTCCTCAAGAACCCAGGGTTGCGATATGTGGGTGAGTTCTTTGGTTGTAAACGATGCAGTGGCAGCACACTTAGCTAAATATTTAAAGTGTTTTTGATAAGCCATTGTCGGTGGTTTATATTTAATAAACTTACAAATCGATACCGCTGCACTGTTTGACTGTTATTAAAACATTAATTGCTATAATTACCAACGCGCTTTTGTTTCAGGAACTAGCCTGTGGTGCGCTCCAGAGGTCATAGATGATGTGGATATCATAGACAGCAAGGCAGACATTTTCAGCTTTGGCCTAATTATCTACGAGACCTTGGCCCTGGTGCCGCCACACACCTTGGAGCTCGATGCAGCGCTGGGCGAGGATATGGACAGCTCCCACGACTTGACCACCGACGCGGAGAAGCTGCAGCGCAAGCAGCTGGACTTCTCCGGGGTAGCTGCAGAAATCGAGGAGGAACATACAGACAACGATATGAGTCAGGAGACGGTCGAAGAGGAGGAGGTCGACGAGGAAGAGGACGATACTAAGGAGAACGACACCAAGGAGAACGACTTCTCTGACCTTGACTCGGCCTATGGCACACGCCCACCACTGCCGGTTGCCTTTCAACTCAGCGACGATTACAACTGCATCGTGGAGCTGTTCTACCTGTGCACAAATGCTCTGAGCGAGGATCGTCCGGCTGCGAAGACCATTTGGCAGTGTCTGGAGAACAATGCCGCGAATGTGGCGACCGGAAGCGATTAGACTGATTTTCATTCTCATCCTCCTACACAATCTTCCTCCATTTGGATATTGGATATTAACTCTTAAATGTAATTTGTCTAGATGTATCATTTTTGTTTGCATGTATGAAAAACTAGTTATAATTTGAACTCTGTAAAAAAAGACACACGACGAGCACGCATGAAGCAAAGAATTCGCTCATATACATAAATTTAATTTCCTGATTGGTTAAGTTAAGTGTATATATTCAGCAGCCGAAAGATAAGAAAGATAAATCGAATCGCAACTGAAAGAAAAATGTGATGGGTTCAATTATTTAAGGTGGTTAACAATTAATAGTTATAATTAAAAAAAAAAAACGAAGTTGAGCTAAAATTTAAAAAGAAATTGCTTTTTAAAAAGGATGGATCGCTTTAAGGGGGTATACAAGTGTAACTCTTTTTAATCGACTTTTTTTGGCGTAATCGGTAGTTTACAGTTTCAAAAATATCCTGATAAAGCGGCAAGGTTGTATCTAAAATAGCTTTTGAATAGCAACGTTCTAAGGAGCGACCGCTTACAGGCATACACCGCTGCACCTGAAACTTGAAACGCCTTTTTCTCGAAAAGATATTTTTGAAAACTGCTGACAATCATAGCTCGAATGTAAATTGACCGATCGGTTTAAAAGTAAGACTCAGCTACAAATAAGACTATCTACAATGACCTACGAACTTTTGGATTGGTTGAAAATTGTCCATTTGTGAGAATTTAAAAGGTCATTTTTTAAATTAAAAAGTAGCTACTTATTTTTTGTCAAACCGACGCAATTTTGTTAATATTTTTAAGATTGTAGCGCATTCGTATATAGCAATCATAATCTTTTTGAATTTTTCTATTTATTCGGAATCATGTCAGAAGTTGGAGACCTTTTTTTTTAATAAAGTTGATAACTTACCTTGTTGTGTGCAAAAAATTGCAAAACATTACTTTTAATTCATTCTTTAAAAAAAAGTTCAAACAATTTCATATTTTTTCGTGGGTAACACTGGTATAGCCACTTAAGGGGAGAGTAGGGTTTTTATATTTTTTTAAATAATGTCTAATATGTTTTGATGTTGTGTTGTGTCTAAATTTCAAATCGGTCAGAGAAAATTGATAGTATGGTTATTTTTATAACGGTTTACTAGTACTAGTATACTCATTTTCAAAACTTTAAAGCGGTTTTCCCACAACTCACGTTTGGAAGTCGGTGTTCATCATTACTTCAAAAAATTTCGTACTTCTTTCCTTAATAGATTGCATTGACTTAAATAAATATAAAAATGCCTTCATGCATTTATTTTTATCAAAAATTTGGAAATTTTTGCGGTAAGTCACTTAAGCCACTTTTGAAACCCTTTTCTAATTGGAAAAGCTTGTCTTACCATTAAAATGTGGGTGTCCAGAATTTAGCGTTTTGTGGGCGTTAGAATGCGATGCTTCGGCAGCACTTGAATCGCTTTTAGTTTCCAAAATCTCGACGTTCAGACGGCTATTAATTCTAAAATGGCTATTGATTCTGATCAAGAATATTTACGTGAAAGGGTAAAATATTGCAATATTCTCAATGTGTACAAAACAGCCCCTAATCTAAATTGAAAAGTGGCGGACATGCATCTTAACAATTTTAATTGAGCATTTTTAAATAAGATCATTTTGAAAATATTTGATATTACTTTCGTACGACACAATGAAGTAGAATCAATCCCATTGGATAGCGACTAAAGATTCTGTACGCAATAATTTTTAAAAATTTAAGTATTGATATTGGCACATTAAACGATTATTTACCAATTTCGATCTTTCTAACGCTTAAACCCCTTTTTTCGTACTTAAAATAATAGCCTTCAAGTTCCAACGTCCCAGAAAACTGCATTTTCGCATAAGTTCTATTTCAAGTTCACTTAAGTTTATTAAAAAATAATAATACATACATCAAAATATAAATTTTTTCTTTCGTATTTTTGCTTTTCGGTCTTTCTTAGTTATTCAGCGGGAATGAACTATCGCTTTATGTATATATTTATGCGTGTGCTTGGAAATCGGGGATGGTGGAGACTATAGTTTCTCGTTCGGTTAAGGTTAAGATCAGGGCCGTAGCTAGAGCATCAGGGGCCCGGGGGCAACGAGTAAAAATGGCCCCAGCTGGCACCGCCCCAACTGCCCCATGCTAGCTACGGCCCTGGTTAAGATTGCTTGGTAGTATGTGTAGGATATGTGGATATGTGGCATTGGGATGAGGGATGTGTTTGGTTTGGGCCATACGCAAGGTTTCAGATTCGCTGCTGTCTCTAGCCTAGATCTTGCTATCTATCTAGGGTATTTCGAAAAGTTAGTAATGCCTGTTCCGCCCCATAATGATGGGTATTGTTAACTTCAAGTCAAGCAGATCGCATCGCGTCTGCCTTGAGTGTCTTTTTGATTTGACTAAAGCGTATACAGACTTCAAGTGTGTGTACAAGGATACGTATTTAACATAGATTGTTTTAGTGTATATATTATCTTGTATATATAAAGTATCGAATTGCTCTCTTAAAGGCGAAGGCGCTGTTGGTGTTTCGTTTATTTACTTTATCGTTTTGTTAACTTTAGCTTCACAGTTTTCTGTATTTTCTCCATAACTTTAAATGATGACATTACAACAAACAACTTGAACGAGTATTGGACGCATAGACGAAAAACAAAAATTAAAATTACAAAAAATACAATGTTTAAAATAAAATAAACAAATACACTAGGTAATGCCATGAAAACATGAATATGGACTAAAAAAAATTATTGTATCTAATTTAAAAAAGGTTTGCAAATCAAAAACCATTCGTTTTTGGGGTTTTTTCGACTTGTAAAAGTACATAAAATGGAATGCTTTGGGTATAAATTAGTTGTGTTCGCATGTGTGATTTTTTTTTTACAATTATTGCCTTTTCAGAATTTGTCGATTCGAATGGTTAAGTAAATTTTTCTGCCTTCTGCATTTTATGCTTTCCCTCTCTCTCTCTTATTTAATCTCTCCTCTATCTGTCTCACTCTAATCTAATGCAACAAGCAAGAATAATAACAAGACGTAAATCTTACAAATTTAAATACATATATATGCCAAGGAAATAGATAAAAACAAGGGACTGCATTCAAAAACGTGCAAATGAATAGGTGTGATTTGTGTGACTTTGAGTGTGTTTCGTGGAATGTATGGGGAAAGTCTGATTATGATTATATGTATAATCGTATTTTATATATTGCTCAACTACTACATAACTGGGAATTTTGTAGAAACAGCGTTTTAACAAACTTTTACAGGATATGACCAAGATATTGCCCATATTTCTACATAATTCACTCAATTAATAATGCTTTTTGATGATTCCTTCATGGTGTTTTGAGCTTTGACAGTCTTTTTAGTAAGTGAGCTATATATAATCGATTGAAATACATGTGATTAGCTCGCCTAACTTGTATAACTTTAAATAATTGACTCGAGTTTAACGAACTTATCCTGATCTTAAGGAAAGTTAAGTCTGATAAACTGAAAATCCTCTCCTCTTCTCTGCTGTGAATTCGCGTTTTCCGTTGCTTGAGTCCTAGATGCCGCTGAATGGCCATTCCTCCTGGTCAATCTTACAAATGCAGCACTCCATCCTTAACGTCGCTGGCCATTATCGTGGACGCATTTGAGGCTGCCTGCTGGTGATGCGACGAGGGTGATGATGACAGCGGTGGCGCCGGCGGCTGATAATTCTGGTTCCCAGCGGAAGTCGACGTGGGACTCTCGTCTAGGGTCACCCCCGTGAGGTCCACGATATCGTCCTGATCGTCGTGCTCAATTTCGTCGGAGGTGTTGGTATTATTGGTGTGATGCGACCCACTGGACAGTTGGCTGTTCCTCGAAAAGGAGCCGCGATGTGTGGACGTCAGCGTGCGCTGGTTGGCCGGCTTCACAGTGATGATTAAATTGGAGCTATTAGCCACCATCATGTCGGTAACTTGATCCAGCGTCTTGCCCGCCACTTCGATGCCATTCACCTCGATCACTTCATCGTTAACGGCCAGCAAGCCCGTACTTTCGGCGAGGCCGCCCGGCACCAAGCGGGATATAAAGATGCCCGGCTGCTTCTCCAGTCCACTGGCCGTCACCCGCACGGAGGTGCCATCTCTTATATAGAATCCCAGGGGCTTATCGCTGCCATGCTTCAGCAACCGCACCCTTCTATGCGTTTCCGGCACAATATCCACATCTATGATGGCCGAAACCTGGCGAAAGTCGTGCGGTATGGATATCGATGGGGCCTTTGTCTTTACGGGCGTGTGTCCCATCAGTATGCTGCCGATTAGGTTCCTCGGCTTCATCGTCCCAAAGCCTGAGTACTCGTTAAGATCATCTATAGGGAGCGGGAACCGTTGGTGAGTGAGTAATGGTTATGGCAATGGCAATGGTAATGGGTTTGACAATACGATAGACTTACCTTTCCGCTGAACTATGACCCGTAGAAGGGGACGTGCTGTTTTCAGGGCCCTGCCAAAGTTATCATCGTTGTTAATCGGCAGCAGATCGTTGTCCCGCGGATCGATGTAGAGAATGAGAAACTGGATGTTCGTTAGCTTGTGCAGCTGCTCTATAAGGGCCGCAAATTTGTCGAAGCTCTGCTCCGTCTCATTTCGCTTAAAACTCCACCGCCGGAACTCCGCATCAAACTTAAAGGTTGGGTTTAATAAGTTAGTTTCTTATGCCTTTCATTTCTGTTACAACTAAATGGATACGTTTACGAATACGTTTGATAAGCATCACCTGTTGAACTATTCGCATGATTACTCAATAGAAATTTTCCTAATTTCCCTTTGTCGTTTTGGGAAGACATTTTTCAACATTCTATACAATTAACAAATCCTTACTTAATAGAGAACAATTAATTTGAGCATAACAGTGTAGGTGTTCAAGCTCAACAGATAGTAGTCTATCATAACGTGTTAAAGGAGTAGTCCAAAATGAACCCGCTTCATCAGTAAATATTGGCTCTGAGGACTTTTCAACAATTTCCAGATAGTAAATAAATTGTAATCAATTTGAAGTGCTTGCAGAGATGGAAAGCCCTTTTTTCGTCGGGACTAATACCTGTACGGGGATTTAGGTAACTTTCCAACTCAGAACCCTCGGCTCCCAAACTAGTAAATGCAATTTCTATGCGCATGAATCAGCAGCTCAGCGGCGAAGAAAGGGGCGTGGATGTCGGTGGGAATGCAGATTCAAGGGCTGAAGTTGGGACTCACCTTCGATTTCACCTCGATCAGGTTCGTGTCGCCACTGGTCGCCGTGCCGGACGTTGTGTTTATCTTGTTCTTTGACATTTTTCCCGAGCCAAGTGCTCACAATTTTGCTCAACAAGCACACAACACAAAACACGGCAGTTTGAGTTTCAGTTTCAGTTTCTCTGATCTGATCTTTGGGATCGAACCGAAACGCCCGATACGAAACGAAACCGAACCAAAGTGCAGCGTACCGATGGCGGGGGGCAACGATAGTGAGGGGTTGCCAATAAATTAGCGTTAGAAATATAAATTAAAACTAATTAAATAAAAGAAATGGATGGAGGTTGATGGTATGGTACTTCGATGAACTATCGCAGGCCAGGGCTGCCACCTTTATGATACAGAGTTGCGTTGAACTATCGCAGAGCTGCCACTTCTTATCGTAAAAGGCTATTCACACAGCGGCTATCATGCAACAGCGGCCGGATTCCGCTTCAGCGTCTTTATCTTCGGCGAAAAGGCGATAAAACTTATTATTGGGAGTAGAAGGTGATTTAGTATTAAGATGATTTTTACTTGGCAATTACGGGATTTTTTTGGAGTTGCAGATGCATTTTGGCCAAGTCAGCGATTTTAATATAATTAAATGAACAAATTCTAATTTGATAATACGAGTGAATAAGGAGTATTGACTTCAATTTGACCTGCGGGGCAAAATAAAAATTAGCTCTTGGAGTTAAATGATTTACATTAAAGCCTTTCTATGATTTGAGTGGATTTTAAAGTAAAACTTTACAGATTAAAAAGCACACAACAGTGAATAATTGAACCACACAAACAGTACCGACACAATTGTAACAAGGATTCAAGATCACCTTATCGTTGGTAATTATTCCACATTTTATTATAATCTTTTAACTTTTGCGTCAGAAAAGCAAAATCGAAAATATTGAATATAAACGAAATAAAGTTAAATTTGGTATTGAAATGGCGACAAATACCCGGCTTTTTCGTGTTTCTGTCGTTTTTCCCTCCATTTTGCTTGCAAGTTCAAATCTAACAACACCAAAGATTACATTTTTTATTCTTTTCGCCAGGGCCTGACAAACGTTCATCGAGAGTTCATTCCAGACGTCTGGCAACACTCTGCACATTTCTATTCTCATAGGCGGCGAAAGGTTTTCGTCGATCTGAGTACTAGGATGAAATCAAGGAAGGGAATATAATAAAACTAGTATTTTGGTGATTTAAACTAATAAATAACACCTTAAAGCCTATTCAGACAGACGGCTTTTCTGATTCAATGACCAAATTCCGCTTCCATAATATTTACATGTGCAAGAAAGAGACGGAAAGAAGTCGCTTCAACTCGCTGTTGCGGACTAGTAGGCTGTAAATTTGGTGATAATTCAGTAGTTTTTAAGTAATTAGAATATTTTTACTTGGCTATTTTGGGATATTTTTGAAATGGAGATGCATTTTGGCAAAGTCAGAAGTATAAATATAATTAAATGAACATGCCCATTCTATAATATGAAAGAATAGGAAGGTATCGACTTCCATTTGACCTGCGGATAATAAGCTGGACGACTTTCCACTTGCGAATGTCAAATTTATATTAAGTTTTGCGTTGATATCCATTTTGCTGGCGGAAAATGGAATTTTGTGTTGTCTTCTTCTTTTTGGGTCTGTTCACACAGGCACCCGCTGATGCAAAATAGAAGTAATTAATAATAATTTTAATAGAATTAAAAGCAATATTCTGAACTGTCAAATTATTAAAAAGTTAAAAATCATTTTTTTAAAAATTAAAAAAGTTACATATAAAAAAGTCCATGGGAGCTTTACGTTATAGCCGTCCAATCCGGCTCGTTCCGACTTATGTACTACCTGCAATAGAAAGACAACTTTTGGAAGTTTCATGCAGATAACTTTAAGACTGAGAGACTAGTTTGCGTATAAACGGACGGACATTCGGACGGACATGGCTAGATCGACTCTCCTAGTGATGCTGATCAAGAATATACATATATGTAGAAATGTCTCCTTCACTGCGTTGCAAACTTCTGACTTAAATTATAAGGGTATAAAAGGGTATATATTTTGGTAAAATAAAAAATAGTCGTAGTATCTGAAGTTTTTGGAAGATGCGATCGTCACGTTAAATTTACCTCGTCAAGAGTGGTTTTTGTTTGATATCAAAAATTTTTGTATGAAACAACTGTATTATTACTGCAAAGCTCCGAAACCTGGTTACAATAAAAGAGTACGTCAATAGCATGGTCATAAGTCATCTTTGTATGAAAAAACCAGAGCACACAATTCTGACTCTTGATCATAGCTAAACGCTGAATACTGCTGTCCAAGAACCAAAACAAAAATATGCCACCAAAATATGTTGTGCCGTTTTTTATATGAAGTTTTTTGTTTTGGGAGCAATTTTGGCAAACCTCTAAAACATATAGACACCATTTGACCTGCCCATCCTCTGCCTGCTAGAGCCATGTTCAAACTTCAACTTGATTTCCCACCCATGCAGCATGCAATTCATTACGGGACAGAAATTCAAGATTGAACCAAAAACTGAGAATTGGATGAAAATTCAAATTTAACTTCGCGTCTCGGGCAGAGCATAGTGGTCGGTTCAATAGGCCTTTTATAAAAAAATCAAAGTCAAAATTTTTCTTATTGGTTTAGCTATTTGAGAGATATTAATTGGGTATTTCAGAGTAAGAAACGTGCAAGGGAAGCTCTCCTCAAAAAATGTTTTAAGCTTATTAAAAACAAGTTTTAGTACAATGAAATTGCTTAATATTATAAATAAAGGTATTAACTTCCATTTTACATCGAAAAATATTTTTAGTATGTGTTGTGTTTTGTGTAAATCAATATTGTATTTAGTACATAATTGTGAGCTTTCTTGGTTTGTCTTTTCTGTGTTTGGTTAGAAGTTCAGTTGTGATAGTATTATTTGGCACAAACATATCTTTTTGTATAATATTCTTAAGCATTTTAAGAATATAAGAATGTTTAATTTAAGTGCCGAAAGTTGCCGAACATATGCAATTATACGAAGGTTAGAACCTAACCTCAATTTTTAAAAAGTGATAGTACGAGCTGCTTAATACAGTAAAATTGGTTTCAGGGCCCTTTAATATCGCTTTAATACTTACATACACGCCAAAAACGGAAAAACGTTTTCATTTCAATTTTTATATTTCAGAAATCGGGGAAGTGCCCGAACTGGGCAAAACAAAAAGATGTGGGTGGGAATCTGTTAATTAAAATCAAATAAGTATTTAAAAATGATAAGACATTTTTTGAATAAGCCCTTACAATCGATATAGATATGAGAATGGTCTCAAGCAATCGATATCTGAAGATGAACATATTTTCGTGCCATCGGCAATCGATATCTGGTTTAGCGACTGGTTGTTTCACAGAAACCGTAGTTTCGTAAATCAAAAATCGTTAATATAGGCAATAGTGTTGCTTGCTAGCTATCGATGTATCGATAGCGCCTGAGCAGCCCTGAAAGACGCATTAGTGTAGAGACAGTTTGTTGGTTCAAGCTAGCTGGACTTGCAGATGCGCTAGTTTGTAAGGGATTGGAATTTACCGCTTAAACAGAGTTTTAATTGCAAATAATGGTGGGTAAATTTGTAACATATAAGTAACTGTTGAGTTTAAAAGAAATTATTTTTAACTTGTCAAGCCTGAAAGCGTTAAATTTCTTATTCCTATCAAACACTTTGTGAAAACACATATGCTCAATTTGTAGGTCCACCGACGAGGGTTACTGTAAAATGGAAACTGTTTTTGTGTGTTGTTGTCGAGCGTGAAGTGTGCAATTAGACAATTGAATTTGTTTAAATGTGACGGGAAAAAGCGCACTACACCAACGGCGAAGGCGAGCGAATCGATTTCCAAACAATAATAAACTACGAAACTTAATTTAAAGTCGCCCGGAAATCCGGAAATCGGGAATTTCGAGAAGTGGCCCCATCCAATACATATACATATATAAGAGAAGAGCGTGCGAAAACAGAAACCCAAACAACGGATAAGGAGAGACGAGTGGCGGGGTCAGGAAAAGCCAGTCAGCCAGCCAGCCAGCCAGCAGCGCTTTTTGTCAAATACTTTTTGGCCACTTTTCCACGCCAGCTGGAAAGAGGCGGGCGAGGGCGGTGAAATTGCGACTTTCGGCGGCCCAAAGAGCTCAGCTGCAGGAATAAGCTGACGCGAAACCTTGAGACACCGACTCTTACTCACACCAGCGCAAGCACACGCACACTCTACCACACACACACAGGCGCAGGAGCAGCAGGAAGTGCAGACAACATGAGTTCGGTAAAGTAAACAAATTATCCAACTCAATACAAGAGTCAGTACTGGGTGTAACTCGAGAAAAAGTCCCATTCAAGGAGTTATCAGATTTCCAGCTTGATTCACAAATTATATGTCACAATCGGGGTGTAACAGAAATCTTTTCCAACCGAATTCAGTTGGAATTAGCATGAAACCAGACGAACGGCTCGGTTAAAGGGATTTCTGAGACTTATTCTAAAAAATAGCAAAAAATAGATGTCGGAGTCTTTATAAACAGTCTTATACCACATTATGCAGCTCTGTTCATTGGTCCAATTTGGGTTTTCTAACCACTATGGAAGCTAATCGTACGATTAAACTGCAATTCACTTACCATTGAGATAAGAAAACGGACCTTATTATGTTATGTTAGGTATGGAATGTTTTTCAGTCATTGTTATAATTTATAATTTTTAGCCAAAAGTTTTCGACGGAGCGACCCTATTATGAGTACATATATGTATATTCTTAATCAGCATTACTAGAAGAGCCGATCTAGAATTCAAACAAATTCGGTTGTGTTGGTTTATTCTCAAAAATCCCAATAAATATATTATAAAGTCGAAACGGGTAGGATCGGACGACTATATCTTATACATAGCTTCCATTGGAACAATTATAATGATAAATTTACATATGTATTTGTATCACCAAGCAAGTCGATATAAACATGTCCGTCTACGTGACCGTTTGTTTATTTCAAATCACTATAGCTTGCGGACTTAAACTTCCTTAGCAAACACAGAATAGTTATAAGGCAATTAATCATTCGAACCCAAACTAAAGCTACAAAATTCATCCAATTTCCAGCAATACTCAAATGTGGAGAACCTGTCACCGCAGACGATACGGCAGGTGATGCGGGAGCTGCAGGAGATGGAGACCACGCCCCCGGAGGGCATCAAGGTGCTGATCAATGAAAGCGACGTGACGGACATTCAAGCGTTGATCGACGGTCCTGCTGGCACCCCGTACGCCGCCGGCGTTTTCCGCGTCAAGTTGACGCTGAACAAGGACTTCCCACAGACGCCACCAAAGGCGTACTTTCTCACCAAAATCTTTCACCCGAATGTGGCTGCCAACGGAGAGATCTGCGTGAATACACTGAAGAAGGACTGGAAGCCGGACCTGGGCATCAAGCACATTCTGCTAACCATCAAATGCCTGCTGATCGTCCCAAATCCGGAATCTGCGCTAAACGAGGAGGCCGGCAAGATGCTGTTGGAACGGTACGACGACTACTCGCAGCGGGCACGCATGATGACCGAGATTCATGCCCAGGTAAAAAAGCGTTTTATTCTTTCTGTATGCTTTGGTTAGCTATACTTTTGACTATCAGGCATTTACCAGAAAATAATTTAAAAAAAACATCAAAATACGATTTGTATGCACCAAGAAGGGCAATGCCAATAGCGATTTTAGTAGCTTAAAGCTATAAGAAAAGTTAATTTACTGAAGCCGTTTGCCTATAGAAAGGACTATCATTTGAATATTATCTGTATTGTTCTTGGTGTTGCCATAATCCTTTCACATGCTTTTCATGACTTTTTGGCCCGTGAAATTTATGGCTCGGCCTTTAAGCCTTGCGTTTCGCAACTGTGAATGGTTAAATCGGCTCAGAATTAATTTATATATTATTATTTTTAAAAATATAAGCACCTTTTGCTTAAATTTAGGATTAGGACATTTAGCGCGTAAAGGAAAAATAGATTCGGCAGAAAAAGCTATCAATCCGAATTAGTTTTAACAAAATAGATCATGGGAAATAAACTAATAAAGCACTTATAAAACTTGTAAAATTAAATAAGTCATTCTTATAAATCGAAATAGGGTATTGAAAAAACAGTCCTAAAGTTAAACATGAATAATGTGCAATTAATTAGAATTAAAACTACATATTTAGTTTTCAAAAAAGAAATATTTGTTACAAACACAAAGCAGCAAAACAATTGTCTGAGTCATAATAAATATCAAAAAATATTTATCACACTCAGTAATTATCTGAATCATTTCCATGATTATGTTCTGTTTTTTTTTTATCAAATAACGCTGTATTAATAAAATATTTTTAATAAGAAAGTTTAGAAATATGATAAAATAACTGAATTTTTGAAAACCGTAAAACTAAAGCATTCAAATTAAGCATTCAACCGTTAATCACATAATGTAAGAATGATTATTTAAAGACCTATAAGCGTAACACTCTTCAATGAACCAATTTGAACTGCTTTATAGGACAGGGTTAATTCTCTATAGCATAACATTTGTCATATAATCCGTTTGCGGTTCAATTTCAGCCCGCCAAATGCGGTGCAGGCGCTGCTGGCGATGCCAAAGACGACGATGGACCCTCGACGAAGAAGCACGCGGGCTTAGACAAAAAGCTGCAGGACAAGAAAAAGGAAAAGTTGCTCAAGGAAAAGAAGCGAATGCTGAAGAGATTATGAGAATCATAAGGCGGAGTTCTGTGGACTAGCTAATCAACCAGGAGCAGTAAGCAGTAGCAGGAAATGACGGATTCGAAAGAATGGATAGATGATAAGGGAAAAAGTGGCAAAGTGCTAGTGCTAACCCAAGAAGCACTTGAATGGCTGCAATTAAAGAAGCAGGCGCGCTATGAAATTTTACACTGATCTGATACAAAAGGAAAAAAATAAGCAACTGAGAAATGGAAGTCGTCGATGAAACCCGGTAAAGAAACTGCGTCATTTAAAGGCTAACATCGGTATCGCAAGTTAAAGCTGCAAAATATCGGTAGAACGAGAGAGAGATAGAACCACTCCAAAGAAAAGGGCATCCAGTTACCACATACGATTATTTAAACCACTTCTTTTGGTGACAGCACCTGTGAACCGAGCCTAGAACATTAAAGAAAAAACAAACAAAAACTAACAAAATCTACCAAGAGATATGGGAAATGCAACCATCTCCTTAGTAATTTATGTAGTTCTCTTTTCTTGATGATCACGAGCTATCCTAGCATAATTTATGTAATTAGATTAAAGAAAAACAAGGAGAACATTATCGCCTCATACATGACACCACCCAAACTCCCTACAAAATCTCTCTAAAAAAGCATCACCACTTTACCTTAATGAGCATTATTATCGTTCACTTGGGGCCTGTCCATACATTGGGTAATCCTCCGTCTAATCAATTGTTTTCAGAAAACAATTGTCTATTAGTCGCCGTAATCGATTGCATAGTGTTTGGATGGCTCTTTAAACTTAAGTTTACCCCTTTTATTTGTGTGTCTTTTTAAAATTGTATCCATTTAGTTTTAAGTTTAATAAATTTCAATTCGTTACTTTTAATTGTCCTGCTTAGGTGTAAGAAAAAACACGCATCCAACAAACAATCACAAAAAATACATAAATTTATTAATGAAAAACTGTAAAAGATCGATAGCACACTTTGTAGAGATTTTAGTTTAAGGACTGAAAACTGTAAAAAACTTGTCGCAAAACGGAATGGAGCGGGACAGATCGAAATGGAATAGCACGGTGATAAGTGCATGGGATATCCTAGTCCTTTCGTTTGCTTTACCTCACGCTCTCTCTCACTCTCTTTCTCTCTCTCTCCTTTTGTTTGGACATCCTTTCCAAGCTTACACATCAAAAACACAGAAATCGAGGGCGGAGAATAAAAAGCAATTAAAAAAGAATAAAATTCCAACAAATATTCCAAGCAAAAGAAATTCTGAAAAAAAAGATTTTGAAATTGGCAAGTATCGTAGAAAATATGTCTGCCTAGATTTGAAAAATGTATTTATTATACACGATTTCAACCACATGAAATGTACTCTTTTGAGGGAGAATATTGGGTTAATAAATTTAATTTATGTATGTATGAAGTTAAAGAAAAGTAGCACTATCGTGAAACAAAAAAGTGAATCGGAGCTACCTTCGCCAAAACGAATTTAGACAGTAAATTTAATTATCCGATCGGAATATTCATATATAACCAAGCGGTAAGTATAATAGATATACAATACCCACGAACACCAACCTATTGATATAGTCAACTCCAAGGATGGGCCTTAAATGGTGTAATACCAACGTATTGTAAAAAAACCGCAAGATTACGTATATCTTATACTAGATTCTTTGAAAACAACCATATCTTTAGAGAGACCGAAAACTAACTTTTTTTTTTGCCAAAACAATTAACAAACCTGAATACGTTTATGGTAAATACATGTTTGTTTAGTATTTAAAAACAAATCCGGACCCCAAAAATGGGTCCAGATTCAGTGGACATCGTAACTAGAGACAGACCTTTCTTACAATAAACAATAAAGAAAGCAAACTATGGCGATCAGAAGTTAATCTATGCTTGCATCTACATATACAAAAATTAAAAATTGTATAAAACGACTGAGACAGCTATTTGATATTGAAATAGCATACCATTGCTACATCTCAAAGCGTAGTGTAAACTTTTGACTTCTGAAAGGGTATAGTAAATCATAAATAAGCGTAGCATTCTTTTAGTACAGTGGAACATTCGAATACGGACTTAATGTATTGAAACCATGGAATGGACTTACTAGAAACAGTAAACAAATCCAAAAACACGCGAGTCGACAGGTAAAAATGGTATTTAAGGAATTATTCTGGTCTAGAAATTTAAACAAAGTTTATTTTATTTGTTTGCATAATTTGAATGTTTTGACTTTTTTCTCCTAACTACTTTTTTTGAGGTGTGTGACATGATATTTCAAGTTCTGCCGAACCTATTCCTTTTAAATTTGGTATATGTACATATGTATATGTATTTTGTTTAAGCAACTCTCATTTTTCTCAATTTTATGGTTATTTTACAACCATTTAAGAAAATTATGCAATGGTTATTAGAAAGGCCTTCCTTATATTTAAGAAAATCATTTCCTAAAACTAAAGGCGAGTCGCCATTGGCTGAAATTTGTAGGCGATTTTCTTGAATCAATAGCGAATTTCTTGAATCTGGGTTTAGCATCGATCCGATTTTTTCCGTGTATAATTGTTAGCACTTAGATTTTCAGATCACGTAGCGCGTGCCAATAACAAAAGGTACGTATTTCCTAGTTCCGCTTCGGTCCGCTTCCCTTCCGCCCCTCCGACCCCGCGTCCACTGGAAGAGTTTATCTCTGCTTTCTGGAGTTTTTTCGATTCCCGCGATTCTGCGAAATGTCATGAGACACTCGCACACAGACACACATTCTAGAGGGGTGATGTGGGCTTGGGTAGGTGTGTGCGGCTCTTCCCCTCTCGCTCCCACTGTCTAGCTGGCTCTGTCTAACCGCCAACGCTTTTGAGCTGAGCCAACATTCCAATCGGTTCGGATCGGATCGGATCGGATCGGGTGTAACCTTCAGGCAACTTGTCGCTCGAACCAAATATTGTCGCATAGCCTGAATGAGAATTCTGAAAGGGCAGCGAATGTGAAACACCCTTATTTGAATACTATGATGATATAGGGTATTTAGTTAAATTCGAAACTAATGTCTCGCTTCTTCTAATGGTCTAAAATGTTGAACCATTTTTTTTTTTAATATTTGAAGAATTGAAGACACACTTCATATAAGGTAACATAAGTCCACAGAGATTCTAGTCTTTATGTTAGTTGTGTGCTATGTATATTGAATATCTGTATGTGGACAAAAAAAGAACTTAAGATTGACACAAAACTACAATATCTTGAAATCATAATGGATTTTCAGTCTTCTAATTAGTGATAGTAGTATTATAATAATGTGGATGATCGTTTGTTTCAACCTTGTGAACCCAAAAAACGACATAGTATTTAACTACCTTAGCTTAAAAGCTATATATATATGTATATGTTTTGGTTCTAAACTGCTGAATTTCGGTCAGCTTGTTTGAAAATTATGTTGTTGAAAATTTTTGTTGAATTGCTGAAGATATCACTGGTCCAACATGAAAGGAACTACCAAATATATCCAAATAAAGAAGCTTAGACAGTACATAGCAAAAAAATCAAATAGTTTAGCTTTATGCTCTTTTTAGTCTTTTTCTAATTGCGATCGGAATTGTAGCAACTGGATTTTCGCAACGGACTTATCCGAGGTGGTTAGAGTATAAAGTTTGGATTCAGATTTGGACTGAGTTCGATTTCGATTGTTCGGACTGTTGGCGCTCTCTCGCGCTCTCCGAAGTCGGACTTCAACGAATGGCCAGCAGATGTGGAGACCGCAAAATGGAAAATGCCGATCTGGGGGGAGCGAAGGGGAGCGGGGAACGTCAAGAGGGAGCGGCGATCGCCAATTTCAGCTAAAGCTGAGGCTAAAGCCAAAAGCCAGGCAGCCCGCAACAACACCAACAACAATAAGAACAACAACAACAACTGGAAAGTGAATAACAAACGGCAAAAGCAAAGCCAATGGCAGCAGGTAGATCAGTTGTGAATCTGGCAACAAACCATTTGGCTGGGGCTGCTGCTCCAAAACAAAAAGAATAACAAAAACAACGCGATCCTCTCTTCGGCTCCAAATGTGCGCGTGTGTGTGTGTGTGAGTGCCTATCGATACGGATGCATTGTGTTTATTTTTATTGTTATTGTGGTTTTGCCGCGTATATAAATTAAATATCTATATAAATCACATATCTATATAAGAATTTATTAATAATGGCCCCCTACAACCATATAATTGCTTATCGATAAAGTGTACCCTTTGGCACGTGAGAACTTCTCGAGGATCCTCATTTCCCGCTTGAAAAAACAAAAACGCGTGTTTCCACTGAGTTTTAGCGCCCAATCTGCCGCCCTACTGCCCTTTTTAAAAACATCTGTTTGCCCAGCTGCCCATGTGCATGTTGTTGGCTAATTGGCCAACTCCCCGCCCCCCTCTTGCCACTCATGTATTTCTCAACATCTCTTAAACTTGGCTTCTTTTTTTATTTACTTTGTTTTTGTTTAGTGATCGATGTGTGATCTGCGATGCTTACCAGTGAGATCAAAATGATGGGTTATTTGAAAAATGTATTTCAAAACATTTAAAAAATTAGTTTCCAATCATTAAAAAAAAAGAAGAACGAGGACAAGTAAGATTTTAAAAATGCTCTTCTATATATGTACGCCGAACACATTTAAAAACGTCATAAAGTTAATTGCAAGATTTTTCATACAAAAATGATTCATTAGATGGTTTCATTATGGCTCAAATTTGAAATGAAATTCCGTTCCCTTATAATTGTAGAGTTCAGTGCTTTTATTTTACAGTGAAATTTTTTTTAATGAAAATTTAAAGACATCTTATAAGGAATTTCTAATAAAATTCAAACGATTTTTTCTACCAGACAAGTGACCTTGTGTAGCATCCTCATCGCAAGTTAAATCAAACTAGATCACATCCGCAAATGTAAGTGCAAGTACCTGATACCGTTTATATGGTGCATGTGTATGAATATATATGGAATATAGCCAACAGGCGTGGGTCGGTTGCTTTCAACTGCAAAAATCCGAACAGAATTAAATCGGTATTCAATAGAATCGAATGGAGTGGAATGGAATCGAGTTAACGCACATTGATGACGATGATTTTGTTAGCCCTGTTACGTTGTTACTGTAGGGGCCATCGTTACGATCGCTCCAATATGTTTTGCATACAGTCACAGTAGAACGTAGGAACTAGTGTCTATAACTTAAGTAAAAGCTTCAGTAACATTACTATTCAGATCCTTTAAAATTAGTTCATTGACTCACTGATTAGGCCACTAATTAATGGATTTGTTATACATTTGAATTGGCAAATTTACCAATAATAACACTTTTATTAGTTCGTTAATCAATTCATTCACCAAACTATTTCATGTCGGTCATCTATCAGTTTTGCTCAATAAAGTCGGATCAAGTTCTTTCATTCAAGGCGATGATCGTGTTAGGAATGCTGCACTGTGGTTACAGGTATGACAAACTGACAAGTACGGCTTTAAGTTTGCCACACAAATACACTCAACCCCAGACAGATCACGGTTCTATAATGTGTAATGTATGGCAGATACAGGCATTGTGTGGGCCGAAGAAAGAAAGAAAACAGCATCACGAATGCGTTAAGTAAAGTCGCGCAAATAACTCGCTCATTTCGTCATTTTGAGCAGGTATCAATATTTGATATATGTCCAAATACACAGAAATGGCTATATCCATATATATGTAATATGTACAATATACATATGCAAATCGGAATTGAGATCTACACAAGGAAAAAAGTGTGAATATAAGCCGATACAGTATTTTTTTTTATATTAAGCGAAGTGCTTGAGTTAGGGACATACAACTTTTTACTAGTTTTACTTAACCAACTCTTGTATTTTTGTATTTGTATTTATCAAATATACTTTTTAACCCAGAACTTGGAATCAAAATTGGGTTTGTTCAATATGTTATTATTACATAAAACAGGCTACAGGCTAAAAATGAGTATATATTAAATGTATCCAACTTTTTAAAGTCTTTTTTTCTGTGCATTGATGGATCGCCTTGACGTCGAGCGTCGTAAAATCCTCCGATTTTGTAGATTTGTTGACTCCAAACCTCGTTTGTGTGTCAACATTAATGTGTTTAAATATGCCTGTTTCTGTTTCGGTTTGGTTTCTGATTTGTTTTTTGTTTCGAGAACGCTTGAGCGTTTCATTAACAGGCGGGGGCGGGTCGCCAGGCGAAGGCGTTCCAAATGCTTTGGCTTTGGCTTTGGCCATCGGGGCCAAAAACGAAAACTAAAACTCATTTTGACCAAATGCGTTCGAAACTATGCGGCAAAACAGCGAGTGGGCAGCGCCGCCAGTTCAAAGTTGTTCGAGAGCAGCAATTATCCAAATGATCAACTGATGCTTACGCCCAGAGAATTGGAGA